CACGGCCTCGCTCTTGCAAGGCTCTGTGAGCGCTCAAGCGAAAGCGGCCTTCGAGGGAACCTGCGCCTTTTCTCCCCCTGGCGGGCAATAGTGGAACAACAGGACCTAGGGAGAGGTTTTAATGGGTAAGGGGCGCCAGCTAGTGCAGAGGGTTTAGCTACAGAGGAACTTTGACATCTTTTTGGACTTGACTTCATTTTGCGCCGCCTTCCTTCTTTGTCAAGGTTTCATTTTCAGTTCAGAGGAAGGAATAAGGGAAGGCACCAACTTTGAGCTCCTAATATGTACTAGGCCCTTTGCATATATTATATCTCATTAAATCTTACCAACAGTTGGAGTTGTTATAGGTCCTATTATACAGAGAAAAAGGAAACTGAGGCCCAGAGAAGACAACTTACTCAGAGTAACCCAGCTAACCAGTGAGGAGGCAGGAGCCCCAATCTGTGTGCTCCCAAAATTCTGACTCCAGCACTAAACTGCTAGGGTGGGGCCCTGGACTTGGAGAAGGGAGAGCTTTTCCTCTACAGCTGAGAAGTCTCTACCAGAACACCCAGTTTCCATGGTCATTTGTAAAAAAAGCTGTAATGGGTTGTAGCTCATTTTCCCAGGTATCTGAAAACACATTCCTTGTCCATGGTGGCAGACAAGAACTGGAGAAGGAACTCTCTCACTTCTTATGAGTGGGAAGGTGAGGGTGCCGGCCCCATATACTGAGGGTCATGTGTTCAAACCCAGCCCCGGCCAAACGGCAACAAAAAATAGCCGGGCATTGTGGCGGGCTCCTGTAGTCCCAGCTACTTGGACAGCTGAGGCAAGAGAATCGCCTAAGCCCAGGAGTTGGAGGTTGCTGTGAGCTGTGATGTCACTGCACTCTACCGAGGGTGACAGAGTGAGAATCTGTCTCAAAAAAATAAATAAATAAATAAAAAGAATGGGAAGGTGAGTGGGTGAAGGAGCTAGAGGAATTGAGGTGGAGATCCTCATTGATGAGGCTATCAGGGACATTGCAGATTAATGTCAGATCCTACAACTGCAGAATTGTTTAGAGATGAGAGAAGTGGCTTCTACAATTCACATCTAGTGACCAGACTTTTAGATGTAACATACTCTATCCAGATGATGCCACAGTCTCCTCCTGCCTTTCAAGAAACTCACTGGGTTGTGTTCCCTAAAATTCTACTGGTACAGGAAGCAGGACCTCAGTGACATCCAGGGTCCCCAAGATGATGGTTGCAAGCAGCATGTGATTTGTCAGGAGTGGTGGGTCTCCATGAGTAGAATCTATCCATGGTCGTCCAGAACCAAAATGGCATCAGGTAGCTACAGACACTAAATCTTTAAAAGGGAAAAGAACAATTTCAAGCAAAACCAGATTAGAAGCTAGAAATATAGAAAGGCGTAAGTGGACTGTTTGGGAAAAATATATATTGAGATCTTCAAATTTGTTCAAGATGCAAAAATTCCAGGAAACAGAACAATATATCCAAATGAATAACCAACAAAAGGAAAAGAAACCTCCAAAGAAAGAAATGAAGAAAAGCAAACTGAATTTCCAAGAAAACCAAAGGTGAATTCCTAGAAATGTCAAAATTGAGTGAGCTTGGGGCGGCACCTGTGGCTCAAAGGAATAGGGCACCGGCCCCATATGCCGGAGGTGGCGGGTTCAAACCCAGCCCCGGCCAAAAACTGCAAAAAAAAAAAATTGAGCGAGCTAGAAACCTGGCAGATTGGCTGGGGTGTGGTGGCTCACACCTGTAATCCTAGCACTCGGGGAAACCAAGGTGGGTAGATTGCCAAGGCAGGTAGCTCACAGGTTCGAGACCAGCCTGAGCAAGAGGGAGACCCTGTCTCTGAAAATAGCCAGGTGTTGTGGTGTGTGCCTGTAGTCCCAGCTACTTCAGAGACTGAAGCAAGAGAATCACTTGAGCCCAAGAGTTGGAAGTTGCTGTGAGGTATGACGCCAAGGCACTGTACAGAGGGCCACAAAGTAAAACTGTCTCAAAAAAAAAGAAAGAAAGAAAATAAAAAGAAAAAGAAAGAAAAAGAAAAAAATACTGGCAGATTGTTTAGGTGACTTTGCATGATTTGTGGGCCTCAGAAAACTCCCACAAAATAGCAGCTCTCATTTCTTTCTCTTCTTCTTTTTTTTTTTTTTTTTGCCGTTTTTGGCCAGGGCTGGGCTTGAACCCCACCACCTCCGGCATATGGGGCTGGCGCCCTGCACCTCTGAGCCACAGGTGCCACCCAACTCTCATTTCTTCATAGGGCAACTTGGGAGAGACCAGGTGGCTCACAAAATATTTAAGAAAACTTTTTGAGAAGGTTTCTAGGAGAGGTGATATCTGATGGAATCTGGGTTGATTAGACTGAAATCCTAACTTTGCCATTTAACTGTATGAATTTGGTCAACTCATCAGTCAAACCTTCAGGAGATGGGCAAAGTGGCACACACTTGTAATCCCAGCTATTCAGGAAGCTCAGGTGAGATTACTTAAGCCCAGGAGTTCTAGTCCAACCTAGGCAACATAGCAAGACCCTGTCTCTAACAAAAAATAAATAAAGACTGGGGGAGGCTCGGCGCCTATAGCTCAACCGGCTAAGGCGCCAGCCACGTACACCTAAGGTGGCAGGTTCGAATCCCCAGCCCGGACCCGCCAAACAACAATGACGGCTGCAACCAAAAAATAGCCGGGCGTTGTGGTGGGCACGGGCAAGAGACTCGCTTGAGCCCAGGAGTTAGAGGTTGCTGTGAGCTGTAATGCCACGGCACTCTGCCCAGGGGGGCAGCTTGGGGCTCTGTCTCAAAAAAAAAAAAAAAAAAAAAAGACTGGGGGAAAAAACTCAATCTTCTCATCTGAGAAAAATGGAGACAGAAGACTTCCTTTACAGGGTTATTTCAAGGGCTAAATGAAATGCAGATGGTATGCTGGTACCTGTAGCATAGGTAAGAAACTAATGGGCTCTTCTCTGAATAAAATATGAACAAAATTCTTCCACATTTTTAAAGATTGACTTGGAAGACTGAAGTAGATTTAAAAAATGGTAGATAACCTATGCAGCCACTGTCACTGCCACACACAAAAAGGGTAGATAATAACATATTTATGTAAGGCAGGATCTTTAGGGAAAATAATCCAACTGTATTTTTATTGAGGCAGGGTCTTATTCCCTTGCTTGGACTGGAGTGCAGTGGTGTGATCATAGCCCAGTACAGCCTTAAACTCCTGAACACAGTAATCCACCTGCCTCAGCCTCCTAAGTAGCTGGGACTACAGGCTTGCATCACCACACCTGGCTAATTTTTCTATTTTTTTTGTAAAGACAGGGTTTCACTATGTTGTTCAATCTGTTCTTTAACTCCTGGCCTCAAGTGATCCTCCCACCTCAGCCTCCCAAAGCGCTGTGATTACAGGTGTGAGCCATTGTGCCTGACTCCAACTGTTTTGGGGTTTTTTTTTTGGCTGGGGCCAGGTTTGAACCTGCCACCCTGAGTATATGGGGCTGGTGCCCTACTCCTTGAGCC